CTAATTTGATCATCGATTTTTAGTCTTGACAATCAGATCATTTAAATGATGTTAATCAAACCATCTGTTGTTATAACATTTGATGAAGGAGTTGACACGACGGATAAAAATCTGATATAATTAGAATTAAATTGATATATTATGTAAGTAATGAGGATTAAATGTATAATTATATCAATTTTATTATTTGTCACGTCAATTTAGAGGTAATCATAGATGTAGTTTACCTTAAGAGAAAATTTATTATGTGGACAGTAAAATATAAGAGATGCTTTTTTTAAACCCATAAACCCTAAATACATATTTTATTGGTAAAAATACAGAATCTTAGACAATAGATTTGTAGTTTTGTACCACATATATCCTACTTTTTCTCTTAATTTAGCAAATAAATTATATTAAAAATAAAATATTAAATTATAACAAAATTAATATAAAACTCAAAACGTTTCTTCAAATAACCTAATATTAAAATAACTTTATTTAACCAAAATAAAAAGAATATTTTATGTCACATTCAGGATTTCAATCAGCCTATACAACTTTTTCATCACATGTTTTAGCTGATTGATCACATGGCCAAATAAGAGATTAATGACCATCCAGCTCTGTTGGTAGAGCACAAGGTTCTTAACCTTAAGGTCGTGGGATCGAGTCATATGGAGGGCATTTCATAATTCGTAGGTCTCCTACGGAAGTTGTTCTCAACCTAGTATTGGGGACAGTCTACTATCTTACCTCCCCTACCCCATTACATATGGGAATAAGGGACAACCATTTTTGTAGAGATATAATCTATGCTAAAGAATTGTTTGCTTTTCAATAATTCAATCTTTCCACGTGTTGCACGTTTATAGTTTATTAGAATTTTATGATTAAAATAATTCCAATGTAATTAACATCTTCGTCGTGAAATTAAATTTTAATATAATTATATATGATTATGTAATAATACATAAAAATAATTATTATAATTTGTAAGTGTTTAATTGAAAGTAATTGGAAGTCTCAGCTACACTTGTCAATTTCCATATGAGATTTGATATAATTATGAGCATAATTACGCACTATAATTTTATAATTAATATTATTTTAGAATTTAAATTTATATAAGTATATAATTACAAATTATATTATCAAACATGATTTATTAAACCTGTGGTTTATTCATTGCTTTGTTGAGTTTAGGTTCTCATACGATTTCCCACTCCATCAAAATCATTCTTCCAATTTGGGGTCAAAAACAATAATAATTCAATGGTGAAAATGAGATCAGATGTTTTTAATGCAATGCTAGACTTGTACTTTTCTTTCAATTACTTATCATTACTTGTACTAAAATACCCCAAGACGAGACATAGAATTGGACATTTGTTAACTCCTTATTGTCAAATTACTTTTATTTTTTTAAATACAAATTTGTTTGTAATTGACCATAAGAGACTAACAAGTTTGGAGAGTTTTGAAAATTAATCTTCCCTAACCATTAAATTATGTACTAAGGGTGTGTTTGGTTGGGAGAATGTGAGATTCCTATGGAAATGGAATCCACATTCTCCCGTTTGGTTGGCCCGGAATTTCATTCCTGGTAATTTTACATTACTAATAGTGGATTTTTTGGGGTATTTTACCGGGAATGTCATTACCTCCATTTTCTTAGGTATTATTAGATTACAGGCGTTTTGGACTAAAATGCCCTTATTTTTTTTTCACAAATATCCTTATTTTGTCATTGAATAATAAAAATTCTACGAATGTTAAATTATAAATTTATCCATAAACTATTTTAGATTTACAAAAAAAAATCTATAATTAAAATTTTATATGAAGTTCAGGGGTTAAAATAAAATTTTACCCTTTCATTAAACCTTTTTATATTTTCAATTTAGTACAAAAATTTATATAAATTTTATGAATTTAAATTTTTTAAAGAAAATATATAAATATTTTCCAATTTGTTAAAAAAAACAAATATATAATAAGAACAATTTGGTCAAATATACATTCCAATAATCTTTTATTCCTTTAACCAAACACGGTAATCTTACATTCCTGCTAAACCAACCAAACACAAAATACAACATTCCCAGTAATCTTATTCCCTGGTAATCTTTTATTCCCACTGGTAATCTTACATTCCGTGAACCAAACACACCCTAAGGGTTATTATTTAATACACTGTCATAAAAAAATTTAGAAATAGTATTATGATAATATCAAATATCTTTTGAAGAAGATTTAAAATTAGAAAAAAAATAATGAGATATTTGACGTCATCTAAGTATTACTTATGAAATTATTTTTTTGTTACTAGTAATATATCGATAATGACTCGTATGTTAATTATTATTATTTTGTCATTGTTGCAAATTTTGCAACTAATTGTCCACCACCTTGGACCAATTTTAAGGGAAAATGAAGAACAACAAGAACCCCATTATATCCTTTTTAATTCAGATATTTTCTTCATATTTTCCATTCAGATATTTTCTTTTGATTTGTTTCCTATTTTTCCACATTGTATTGGAGATAATGAATTTTCAAAAAATATTCCCTGATTTTCCTTTTTAATTTGTTCATTCCATATTGTACTTCTTTTGAAGTTATATTTATACATAAAATTGAACATATATATGTATATACGTTTTACCTTTTTAATAGGTCTGTAAACGGACCGAACGCACACGAACGGTGGTATGTTCATGTTCGTTTATTTAATAAATAAACGAACATAAACGAACACAAATATAAACGAACAATTTTTTGTTCATGTTCGTTCATTAAGGAATATAGCTTGTTCATGTTCGTTCATTTAAATAAATAAACGAACATAAACGAACACGAACGAACGAACATAAATGAACACAATAAACGAACAACACAAACACAAAAAAAAACTTATTCTAACACAACAAACGAATGTAAAAAAAAATAAACAACAAGAATAACAACTTAAAATTCATTAATATAACCTGCAACTTTAGAGTTATTTTGTTCGAATACGACAAACATATATAAATCATAAATAAGTTATATGAACGTAATAAAGTCTTAAAGTTAATTTGTTCAACAAAACAATCTTCTTGAAATCCAAACAACTTCAATAATCTTCGTAACATATTCAACTTGCCCCCTGTTCGAACATAAATTAACATAAATGAACGAACATAAACGAACATATAATCGAACGTTCACGAACGTAAATGAACGAACGAGCCCTTTGTTCATGTTCGTTCATTTAATTAAACGAACGCAAAATCTTGTTCATGTTCGTTCATTTAATAAATAAACGAACTTCCCGCCGCACGGTTCTTGAACGGTTCGTTGAACGTTTAGTTCATTTGCAGGCCTACTTTTTAAGGTTATTATATAATACATTGACGGTGAACTTTTTTATAATACAATGTTTATATAATTTAATCCCCTTCACACCCATAAATAGAAAAATGATGACTTTTAAGTATGATTTTTTAATTTGAGTTTAAGTCGGATTGAGTTTGAGTTTAAAGAAAATATATCTCGTCCCGCTCTATTATGAGATAATTTTAAAAATATCCTTTTATGTATTTATACACTATTAAAGGTTTTGATAAAAATATGTTTGAAAATTAGCATAAAGTACTGGAATTATAGTGTTAAATTAAAATTTATTTTAATTTTATGTTATTAATTGAATAAAATAATATTTTATTTGATTTTTTTATTTTGGTAAAAATAAAAAATATGTTAAACCGGGTCGAGTGAGATTAAAGTTGAGTTTTAATTAAATTTTGGGATGAATTCAAACGAGTTCTTTTTATTCCGATCATATTTTGTTGTTATGATGTCGGGTCAAGTTTAGATAACCAAAAACTTGTCTCGTTCCGTTGGTATCCCTAGTTAGAAAGATTGTTCCTATAATGAATCTTTATAATACATGATACGTATTAATTAATAAAAGAATCATATATCAATAATTATATCTAAAAAATAAAATTAAATAAATTTATTAAAATCATTTTCGTTGAAACCAAACAGGTAAAATTAAATCGTGTGGTGTTAAATGCAGAAATTGCATTTTCCAATCCAATGGATAAACATGAGCCATAAAAAGCACCATAGTTTTCTTCAATTCTTTTACATTTATTTTTCAACACCAATGAGTACTGTTTAGCCGAGTCAATGTCTTCGTCTCTGATTTGATCTTATCGCTTCTTTTTCCCATTTTTCTGATGCGTGCGTCTAACAAGTTGACCCAATACATTAATTTTCACACTTCAATTATCAATTCCAGGTTTATTTCATAACAAATACTCTCCTTCTTTTTTCTTTATAAAAACCTTCAGTGATCACTACGAGTCATATTGTTGAGAGACTTATGGTTTAACTATGTCACCGATCCTTATACTCTTTGAATTTTTGAAATTAAATCCTTTATGATCGTACCTTGTCGATCCAAGGATTTGTGGCCTTGGAATTAAGCCAAGAAGGCCTAAGTTGAAACGATATGGTTGAGGTCTTGAGATATTGGTGTTCAAATTCGAGTCTCATTGTTTATGAATCATATGGGAATCTTATTTAGAACGACTCAAATCTATGTTTTTTCAATGTTTTAAGGACTTATTTGAATGTTATTTTTCAAATAAGGGTCATTGATTAATTATGATAGACTTAAAAACAATGGGATTAAGTTTCCAAAGCATGAAGAGTACAAGGACCGAAAGCATAATTAGACTAAGGTTCGAACGACGGTACCCTTATACAAATGCCGTCTGTTGACTAACGAGCCGTCACAAGAGAATTAAAAAACCAGCGAAAAAACAATAATAGAGAGAAAGAAGAGTCAATAGACACGTGGAAAGATCCTGATGGTGGTGACCCACTACGTCACCCAGTTTGCAGGTGTTTGGAGCTGTACACTCTCCACTTCTATATAAACTCCCCATTGTTTCCTGCTCTGCATATTCCATTTCAGTTTCACAACTCTCTCTCTCTCTCTCTCTCTCTCTCTCTCTCTCTTCATCCTCAGAGCGAAAAAAAGAAGAGGAAAAAACAAAGAGATTTTGTGTTTCAGGTGATATATATATATATATATATATATATATTCAGATAGAAGCTATGCCGACGGGTGGATTCTCATCGGTGCCTCCGGCGGGGGTGGAGTTCGAAGCTAGATCACTCCGATTGTCATCATTTCTTGTATAATGGCCGCCACCGGCGGCCTCATGTTCGGTTACGACGTCGGTGTTTCTGGTAAATCCATTCTTTCGTGTTCGCATGAAAATTTAATTTATATAATATATTTTTTGATTTTTAAAATAAAATATCTTTGCTCCTTTTAAAAATTTCTTCGGTAAGCAAACAGCTTTTAATTTTTTAATCGTCACGTTTAAATAAATAAGTATTTTTAATCAACTATAGGTTATCTAACATATATTTTAATCTGAATTAATTAATTAATATTTATTTATGATTTTCTGTTTAAAACTAAAACAAATACTCCGAAAGAAAATTGTATTTATGTCTCCCGCCAAATTGAGATAGCCATGTTTTAACAGAAAAGGGTAGTTTTGGAATTTCTTGTCATAAAACCGTTGACCAAAGAGTCTTCCAGCTGTTCTTAGGGGAGCCCGATAGTGGTTTAACTGATTTTTTTTTCGTTTAACAAAGAGTTGGAAAGGATTGAACTGGATTATTAAAACTTAAGGGAGACTAAATATGTAATAAGACCATTCAAATAATTAATCTAACAAAAAGACTATTAGGAAAAATTAGTTCATTGTCGTTACTTAGAAAAAATGGGAAAAAAATAATACCAACTGTTTTTATTTTGTAAATTAATTAATTTGTTTTGATATAGGTGGCGTTACGTCCATGCCGGACTTCTTGAAAAAATTCTTCCCGGTTGTTTATCGGAAGAGCCAAAACCCGGAACCGATGGAAACTACTGCAAGTACGATAACCAAGGCCTGCAATTGTTCACTTCGTCGCTTTATTTGGCTGGTTTAACGGCCACTTTCTTCGCATCCTACACGACCAGGACGCTCGGCCGCCGCCTCACCATGTTGATCGCCGGTTTCTTTTTCATTGTCGGTGTCGTCCTGAACACCTCCGCTCAAGACCTTGCCATGCTTATCACCGGAAGGATATTGCTGGGTTGCGGTGTCGGTTTCGCTAATCAGGTAACACCCATAATTTAATTTACTCGATCTTTGTATAATCACGAGTAAATGAACAAAAACAATTCCTCTAAAAATAATAATTTAATTTAATTTACTTATTTTTTTTCAATATAAACTGTCGGTATTCGATAATCCATACTGTTTTTCTTGAGTAACTGGATATTTTATTTTTTTAAAATTATTATTTAACAACAATCACAAATAATTAAATTTTAAATTATACTTTTCAAAAATACGTTTAAAGTATATTTTACGACATTTTTAAATCATTTTTAAATTGGGTCCCCTAAAAGTTTTGGTTTAATTACTTATTAGGTCCTATTAGTTTTAAAGGTAGTCAAATTAATCCCTAATTGGGGTGTCCCTTTCAAAGTGGTAGGTTATCAGTTAAATTGCTCTTTCTAAACTACCATTTTCAGTTGTCTAAGGTAATAATACCATTTGAATTATCCCTTTATCACCCACTTCATTTAGCATGTTACATTTTTCACGAGTTCTTACATCCCAACCAATCCCATCACGACACCTAGCCAAAGAAAAACTTGTCCGTCGGCATAGTTTCTGATAAGAAATGGACCGACATTAATCACCCAATATCACCCCCATAAAGGGTAGTGCCAAATTTTCTAACCTTCGATTTGATTAATTTAATCAATTGTTGTTGTTTAATTAGATTAAGTATTAGTCACGATCCAAGTTGTTGTCTTCTCCATAACTTTTCAAACTCTAAAAATTAATATATTCTTAGGTTTGACGTTTTGTACATGTGATTGTGAGTTGTGCGACTCTTTCGCTCTCCATTGGCTTAATTTAAGGAAAGTATCATGTGGAAAAATATATTTTATCTCTGGATTTATCCATTGAAAAAGTTAAATAAAAATTGATGTCTTCAAAAGCAAATTTGTTTACTCACACATCCTTCTTGCTCTAAGAATCTCCTTTTTTATCCTTTTTGAAAAGTCTTTCTATGAATTACGTCATACTTGATTGACCTTTTTGTTTGGGTTCCTCTAGTCTTCTTTACTCGTCATATGCTGTACAATTTTTGATTTTTCGACCTATATATTTTTTTAATATGATCATGGATATTTGATTCATTGATCCTCACCTACGAGAAGATAGGTTAAATAATTATTGATTAGTTAATTTGATTTTAATTAAATTACAGGCTGTGCCATTGTTCCTGTCTGAGATAGCACCTACCAGGATTCGTGGGGGGTTGAACATATTATTCCAACTTAATGTCACTATTGGAATTCTCTTTGCTAATCTTGTCAACTACGGCACTGCTAAGTAAGCATTTTTCTTCTCTTTTACTCCTTAATTATATGTTTAATTTTTAATTAGCAGCCAAGTAATTGTGAATAATTCCGGCGACAGAATCAAAGGTGGATGGGGTTGGCGGCTATCATTAGGTTTGGCAGGCATCCCGGCACTTCTCTTAACCGTGGGGGCCCTCATGGTTGTCGATAGTCCCAACAGTCTCATCGAGCGTGGTCGTCTTGAAGAAGGAAAGGCCGTGCTCCGAAGGATTCGTGGCACTGATAACATCGAGCCAGAGTTCCTTGAGCTTGTGGAGGCGAGTCGTTTGGCCAAACAAGTGAAACATCCATTCAGGAATCTCCTTCAACGTAGGAATCGACCGCAACTCGTGATTGCGGTTGCCTTGCAGGTAAACACAATAATTCGATAATGTCGTTTGAGTCGTGTCGGGTCGTGAAATGAGTAACGTTTGTTAATGGTATGTCACATGGAACAGATCTTCCAACAATGTACCGGTATCAATGCAATCATGTTTTATGCGCCCGTCTTGTTTGACACATTGGGATTTGGCAGTGATGCTGCACTTTACTCTGCCGTTATTACCGGGGCTGTCAATGTGTTGTCTACCATCGTATCGATTTACTCAGTCGACAAAGTGGGCCGTCGTGTGCTGTTACTCGAAGCCGGTGTCCAGATGTTTTCTCTCAAGTTGTCATAGCAATTATTCTTGGTATCAAGGTTCAGGATCACTCCAATGATCTCCACAAAGGTTTCGGAATCTTCGTGGTCGTTATGGTGTGTACTTTTGTTTCGGCCTTCGCGTGGTCATGGGGACCCCTCGGTTGGCTAATCCCGAGTGAGACGTTCCCACTCGAGACCCGATCAGCAGGACAGAGTGTGACAGTCTGTGTCAACTTGCTCTTCACCTTTGTCATAGCTCAGGCTTTCCTCTCTATGCTCTGCCATTTCAAGTTCGGAATCTTCTTGTTCTTCTCCGGGTGGGTGCTCCTTATGTCGATCTTTACGTTGTTCCTAATCCCAGAGACGAAGAACATTCCGATCGAGGAGATGACGGAGAGAGTGTGGAAGCAGCACTGGTTTTGGAAGAGGTTCATGGACGACGAATATGATGGAAAAGCTGTTACAAATGGAGATTTTGCAAAGAAAAATGGGCATGCTAATGGCTTTGATCCAACATCACAGTTGTAAATTTGAGATGATTCTAAGCACATCTCATCACAATAGAAAATAGACATAATACTATCATATATGTAGCGGAGAAGTCCCCTGAGTAACTGATTTCATATCATCTTTGATGTATAATGCTTGCTATAAAAGAAAATTCAATCTCTGTGAACTTGAATTACATGTCTTTTAATATTTCGAATACATTGATCGTAAAATGAATCTCGATCTTAAATTTAACCCAACATTTTTCGATTTGTCCAATAAAGAATATATATATAAAGATAGCAGGAATGAGGCATCATTGCAGTATAACACTCCTTGTCCAATATGAACAACATTTGACCAATTAAATAATTACTTAACTGTATCTTCAATATGTGTCATCTGCAACTCACCCGACATTCTTTCCTTTCAAGCGTTGTCCTCTAACAATATGGGGGAATGCGAGGGACATCAATGATGATGCCAACAATAAGTTTTAGCATTATTAACTAACATTGTTATACGATACGATACGATTGACACGATACGAATATAATACGAATGGTTCAAAAAGTTGTATATAAACTCCTTAAGAGAAAGAATCCCTCCACATCCTCGTTTTTCTGTTCTCTGCCGGTTTTAGCATGGGTTTTCCTAAGAGCGTTGTGGCTGGGATTGTTGTGGCGTTGCTGCGGTTGTCTGATGCGGCTGTTTACAAGGTTGGGGACGCCGGTGGTTGGACCTCCATTGGGAACCTTGATTACAAGCAATGGGCTACTACTAAGACCTTTCAACTTGGTGACATTATTCGTAAGTTCATAGTTTGTGAACCATCCTTTATTTTAGCTTCTTTTTGCTCCATTTTTTTTTATCTTATTACCCTTACATGGTTTATTGCTTATAGTTAAGGTCGAGTTGGGTTGAACTTTCGATCCGTCTAATTTAAATTGAGAAATATATCTCTTCCACTCGAAATCAACTTAACTTGAGTTTAGAAATATCTTATCATACCTGAAATTTATTTTAAATTTTAGGATAAAAACTAATATCTATTCTGACCCCACATGATACAAATAAAAAATGTTCTTTTTTTTATTTGTAAAATATAGATCTAATCGAAATATATATATATATATATATATAAAATAAGGGACTATAGCAATTATTCGTAAATATATATAATTAAATTACACTTATTTAAGCTTATGTGAGATATAGTCAGAGATTTTCTATTCTAAACTCAATCCAACCCGACCCAAATCCAATTTAAAAAAATGATTCTATCAAATCAAGCCCAACCGAATTCGTTGTCTTCGGATTAAATTATCATACATCCATATATAAATAAATAAATATATGTATATAAAAGAAAATCACACTATTATTTTAGGTCAAGTCAAAGATTTTTCATCCTAGATTCGATCAAATCCAGTCCAAACCCTATATTTAAAAAAATAATTTTACTAAATCGAATTAAATTAAAATTCGGATCAAATTCTCCTCCATACAAAAGTAGTTCTTAGATCTACATTGTTATAAATACATACAAGGGGAGAACGCATGGGCCTTGGCCTCTTTGTTAAATGGTGCAATTGTAATTTTAGTCTCTCTTAAACATCAATAATTCAATTTAGTCCTTTTCAAACATTGTCAATTGGAAAAATTGCATATTTTTGGCATCACTTAAAACCAAAGTTCACATAATAGCTAAAATGAATTTGGCAACAATTTATCGTTACATCGTTCAATGATACCAATATTAATGACATATATACATATACGTATAGATTTTGAGTACAATGCTCAGTTTCACAATGTGATGCGAGTAACACATTCGATGTACAAGGCCTGCAATGCCTCAGCTCCTTTGGCCACCTATGCTACCGGCAATGACACCATTAACATAACCGCAAAGGGTCACCACTACTTTATTTGTGGCGTTCCCGGACACTGTCAATCCGGACAGAAAGTCGACATCAACGTGCTCCGTGAATCCGAAACAGCTGCAACTCCCTCGGGAATGTCCCCTGCATCTGCTTCGATTCCTTCGGCCGGTGGGCCTGTGTCTTCACCGAGCGGTGCCATCTCCTTGAAAGGTTCTTCCAAGGGGAGTCTTACCAACCTTTGTTTAGCAATGGCTGCTTCTGCAGTTTTTGTGTCAGTTTTTCCCTGAATAATTTTGGTTTCTTTTTGTTATACTGCAGAGACATGTATTTTCATGGAATACTCTAATAATGGTATAATTAATATAAATTTTTAACAATATATGTATATGATATATGATTATAAAAAGCCGTTTAAAATGGAATCAATTAGTACCATATTTTTATAAATATTTACAATTAAATTTAAGCATAAAGTTGAACAATTCAACTTAACTCGACTTGAATTTTATAAACTCAACTAAAATAAAAAAAATTAAATAAAATTTAAGTTATAAAAACAAAACTCGCCGACTAACTCAAAATATTTTTACTCGACTCAATTAAATACTCACGCCTACAAATAACTTTTTTCTCGTATTTTATTATTTTATATACTATGAAATAATAAGTCAATCCAATATCGATGTAAACAATATATATATATATATATATATATATGGTTTAAGTATTAAATTTAAGCCTTAAATTCCATTTCATTGTTAGTTCTATTAATGTAATCATTATATATACATAGATATATTTAGCTAAGCTAAGCTTTTGGAAGACAATGGTTATGGGGAAGAGAAGGGAGAAAGTAAGTACAAGATCTCATACACTACCCTCGTCTCCTTCCCACTCTTTCTCTTCATCCTCCTCCTCCGACTTCGAGTTTACCATCTCATTTTCCCCACGCGCCGCCACCTCCTCCTCCCTATGCCCGGCCGACGACCTCTTCTACAAAGGCCAGCTCTTGCCTCTCCACCTATCCCCTCGTCTCTCCATGGTCCGCACCCTCCTATCCTCCTCTTCCTCCTCCTCCACCGCCTCTTGCGACTCCACTGCCAGCTCATCCAACGACTCCCACTCCTCTTTTGCTAGCGACATCCTCCTGCTCGCCGTCGATAACTGCGGATCCTCGAGGCCGAGCTCCGTCTCCGAAGACAATGGGAACCAAGTATTTCCAACTCATCATCAACAACCACCACTACAACAACAACAAATCAAGAAGAACAAGTATTTTTCTTTGTCTAGATTATCTTCAATGCTCAACAAAGAAAACAACAACAACAAGCATAACCAGGTGGTGAACATTGCGGCGCCACCTTCATTGGTTAAAAAGATAAGCATAACAGCAAAACGATTTATAAGCAAGTATTTGAAGAAAGTGAAGCCATTGTACGAGAAACTATCGAATAAACAAGTCGAATCGGTTTCAGCTTTGTCGTCGTCGACATCGGTTCTGACTTCGTTCTCAATCAAACCAATGAGATCTGTCAAAGAAAGCAACAACAATGGCGGATTTTCTCACTCTTTCTCGGGAAACTTGAGGCACCCAAGAAGGAGAAGCTGCATTTCGAGCTAACCGTCGTCGATGCGGTCCTCGCCGAGCCACTCGGGGGTGCTTTCCCGAAACGGGTTTCCGATGAGTACGGGACGGGTCGGTGGAGGCATGCAGTACCCGGACCAGTCGTCGATGGAAGAATTGCAGAGTGCCATTCAAGGTGCCATTGCTCACTCCAAGAATTCTTTGGTTCAAAATAAAAGCACTGTAGTAACTAACTTAATTTAACGGTAAAATCTATCTTTGGATAAATTTTCCCCTCACTTTACAGCATCTCGTAAGATAAAAATAACGTGACATGAACACCTAACTTCTTTTTTTAATCTTCAAATTTTAATTTTACTATCATCTTTTTTGTTTTATTTCAATTTCTCGATAATCTAAAAATTGTTGATTAAGATTATATTATATATATATATATATATATATATTACAGCTGCCGAGCTATAAATTGAAAATGGGTAAGGAAGATTTTCTATAAAATGGATGATGTATGTTTGATATATATATATCGGATCTATGGTTGTGGTTATAATTTAGATTCAATCAGATTTTTGATAAATTTATATTTATTTTGACCATTTCATAATTTTATTTGTTATGTAATTTAATTAAGTTTTTAAAAAATTATTTATTTTGAATCTTGATTTAATTTTTAGGTAAAGACCTATGGTTGTCCCTTGTTCCCATATGTAATGGGGTAAGGGGATGTAAGATAGTAGGCTGCCCCCAACACTAGGTTGAGAGCAACTTCCGTAGGAGACCTCTGAATTATAAAATACCCTCCATGAGACTCGATCCCACGACAACAAATTTAAGAACCTTGTGCTCTACCAACTGAGTTGGATGATAGAGCACAAGGTTTTTAACCTTGGGGTCGTGGGATCAAGTCCCACGGTAGACAATTTATAATTTGAATATCTTCCACGGAAGCTGCTCTCAACCTGGTGTTGAGGGCAGCCTACTATCATACCTCCCCCTTACCCCATTACATATGGGAATAAGGGTTAGCTAATTTGTAAAGACCCATATCCAATTCGACACAAATACATATAATTATATTTTTATTATTTGAAATATAAATCTATTTGAAAAATATAAAATATTATTTTAATTATCTCTAAATATATAAGAGAGGGTTATATTATATTTTCGGATCGAGTCAAGTTTAGATTTTTTTACGCTAAATTTAAATATGACCAAACTCGATCTCATCTTTCAAGAAACATGATCCGACCTCATCATTCAAAAAAGCATGAACCAACTAGATGATAACTCAATTTTTTTTTAAATATCCTACAAGTTGAGTTAGACTAGAACCCATCGAATTCGGGTCATATCACCATCTCCATGTATGATAGGTCAAAAAGTATGTAGTTGGATGTCTTTTAAATAAGATTTTAATTTTATATTTTAAAATTATTATTGAAAATAGTTTTATTTTCGATTTAGAGTTTCATTTTATCATGGTATTTTGAATAGAACAAGTTGAATAAAAAATATTTTATGATAAATATTTTTATTACGTAATCTAAATTATTTGATTAATTATATTAGATGTTAATAATTGATATATATTAATAAATTTAGAATAAGTATAAAGTAGTATCTATTAAAAAAATTAATCTTTTAATAATGACACTAATAATATTATATTTGTAGTGCAGTTTAGGGAGAGGCATGTTAGTAATTAATGTTCAGTAGTTTGGTAGAACTATAGGCATGTGATGCGATGAAGCAAGTACCAAATATATAATTTATAAGCCAAAGTTTGGTGCATTTCATATGCAATGAGTTGTATCATTAATTAATCAATTAATTAATTTTGTCGGTGAAGGATTTTTTCTCTCCATCTAATCCAATTATTTATTTTAAAATTATGTCAATGATTACCTTTAAGATGATTCTTAAACTTCTTTATGTTAAAGTTAATATCTCGAGAAAACTAGAATCCATAAGCATTAAAATAATAAAAGATTTTGATTAAATTTTAATTTAATTAAAATCATTATTTTTCATTTATTTTTTGGTTGCTTTCCCGGTTCCAAGTGTTCACCTTAAGTAATCCGGACTGACCTGTGTCGCACACTTATTTTGGATGATAATATGAAAGTGAATTTCATCGTTGTCGTAACTTTATAACATTAAAATTTGAAGGGACTAAAATTGATATTTAACCATTGAGAGGGGACAAGGTTCCTTCTTCTGTCTAGGGGTATTCAAAATTCGATTTTAATCGAATTAACCGACCGAATCGAATTAGTTCGGTTAATTCGGTCGGCCACCGAATTAATTCGGTCGGGGAACAGTTAAGGATTTTTTTGAAATTCAGTTAACGGTTAATTCGGTTCGAAATCGGTTAATTAACCGAATTAACCTTTAAATATAATTATATTAAGAGGCCCAACCCATTTAAAACCCAAATCAATATTAATTAATTAAAATAATATCAAAACTAAATGCAAAATGTTTGAATCAAATTAATTATATATTATTTATAATTAGATATTATTTAAATTAATTGTAAATTGTTTTTTAATTAAAAAAATATTAAATTCTAAAATTCTAAAAAATTTCGGTTAATTCGAAAATTAACCGAATTAACCGAAATTTATTCGGTTCGGTTAATATTTTCGAAAAAAAATTCGGTTCGGTTAACGGTTAAAGAAAAAAAAATTCAGTTAATTCAAAAATGGTAGTTTGGTCACCGAATTAACCGAATGAACACCCCTACTTCTGTCCATTTTAGTTTGGGTCTAAGTTTTTGTCGGCTAGCCGCTAGCGGGTATCTCTATTATAGAAACTGTATTAGTTTAGTTTTTATATTTTAAAATGGATTAATTTTGTCCCTTAGAAATTAGTTTGAATCATGTTGAGGTGTGGTGGTAAGAGATGGTGAAGGACAAGTGCTCGACGCTGCTTGAAAAATTCTATCGGACTCCAGCGATCTCCGTAGCAAAGGCGTTGGTGATTGTATACGTACTACAACTAACAATTGATTTAGGCTTTCGACTTATCTGGTTGGAAGGTGATTTGCTAGTTGTAATGGAGTCTAATGAATTCTAAGAAATCAGTGCTGTAACTTGGGATACTCTACGAATGATTGATGACTTTGTGGAGATCTTAAGGATCTGGTTCCAATGAAAGGGTCCCACTAATGCTTCGGTGGGACCTGATGTGGGGCATCTTTACCACCTGGTCGAAAAGGCAGCAAAGGATAAATTTGTGGTCATAATTTAGACAAAACTTTCGAGATAATGTTCACGAGCTAATGCACTTTTAAAATTAATTGTTCAAATAGGGTGAAATCCATAATATTGGCTGTAGGTCGCCATATATTCCGGATAACCTTGTAGGTCGCCATGCACTCCGGGCGACCTACCCTTGCTCAAACAGAGAGAATGAACGTGTTGCATGGCACATGCACGTCCCAACACATAGGTCGCCATGCCCTCCGGACGACCTTGTAGGTCGCCATGCACTTTGGGCGACCTACCCTCGCTCGGCTTTCCTCGGATTCCCTCGCATAGCTCGCTCGGTTTCCCTCGGATGCCCTCGCATAGCTCGTTCAGATGGCCTCGGTCGGATGACCTCGGATGGCCTCGGTCGGATGGCCTCGGATGCCCAGCGTGTTGGGACGTGCATGACACATGCAATCTCTTGTAGCTCGCCGGGAAGACATGGCGACCTAGTATGTCGCCCGGAAGGCATGGCGACCTAGTATGTCGCCCGGAAGGCATGGCGACTTACGACCAACACTGTGGATTTCACCTTATTTGAGCAATTAATCTTGGGAGTGCTTTATCTCGTGAATTAATTTTTTTCTAAGCATTATCTCGAAAGTTTTGCCCATAATTTATATGTATGGTTGAAATTTAGAAGCAAGGTTGTTTACAAAATGCATCAGATCCTCCCTCTGCATAATGAAAAGGAGTTGGGATATTAGAAGAGAATATATCTTTTGAAATAAATGAAAGGAATATACAATTTTTAAATATTAAAATAAAAGCTTTCTTTTATAGTAAATAAGAATAATATACAAATTGAATATTGAAGCAAATATAAGGAAACACCTTTCGTTGTAGGGAGGTATGATTATTTGATCCAGTAAAATGCAAAAAAAAATTATCATTCGAACTTTATTTAATTTATTTAATCGAAACAAATTTAAAAAATTAATTTGATTCGAATTGAATAGTTATTTTCAAAAGTAAATTGATTACATTAGAACTTTGACGATAATATAATATATTTGAAAAACAAAATTTAATAGAATACTCTGGGTTTTATAATTGACTTGTTTAATGTATAAACTTAATAAAATTCTAATTAATTTGAGAATTAAATATTATATAACTTAATTTATTTTAAAATATTAATATTGTTTAGGAAAATTATATATTTATAATTTTAATATATTTCATAAAGCTATTATAGACTTTTATAATTTTTTGAAAAGTCAAGACAAAACCTTAGAAATTGGAAAGACAACTAATTTTTTTTTAAATTTTTTCCGAATCAAATCAAATTTTAATAGTTCCTAATCAAGGCCGGAAATGGAAACAATATAGGAAGATGAAGAGCCAAAGAATTATAAGATTCTAAATTTTTCCCCAGTATCAATCAGTACAGTACTTCAACAATGGGATAAAGGCAGCATTAAAATGGATATAAACTGAACCTGTATATCTTATGTTGTCTTGTGTTCCTATTCTTTCTGTTTATACAACATTCCAACAAGGGGACCAGCTTAGAGCAGGGGGTTCAATGGTATTAATCTCTGAAAAGACCATTAATTTATCGGCTACCGGTATCTGAATCCGAATCTGTTGAAGCAGCAGCTAAGTTATCAGCTACCTGCTTATCGAGCTGCTTTTTAAGATACCTCTGAGCAGTTGCATTCACAATCTTGACAAAGAAGTTCATGAGCATAAGCCACACGACGGTATTCCAGATCGATGCGAACGAAAAATCCCACTTTCCCTGTGTAATCATTTAGCACGAGTTTACGAATTTGTTAGATTCGAGTCTGTCATAACTCGGGCTAAAATGGATTGAATTGTTTATACTGGTTTACGAGAGAGGAGTACCTTGATATTTGAAGGCAGTGTGCGTGGGGCAGCCAAGTACTTGTCTTTGGCCGCATGAAGTTTTGCCGTGAGGGTCGGCAAGAAAGTTTCGAGTCCGGGTATGAAGCCCAGAATCCAGATCAATTCATTCTCTATCCAATCAAGGAGTTGATTATTACAGACACAGATAATGAAAACCATCTGCAGAAAACAAAATAGATGCTTCATTAAGTTGATGGAAAAACTTAGAATTTTGTCTTCGTCAAATGATTCGAGAATTGAGACATATTTCGGCCAACGTCAGTACCAAGAATCGGAAAGTAAGAATTATAAGACCAAATCACCACGAACCTGTATGTATGTTTTAATGAAAGCCTTTCCGATCAATGTTGAGAGAAAGAACTCCCAGAATGGAATTCCAAATTGTCCACACATGATGCCGGCAAGGTCAAATAAAGGATTGGGGACCTGAAACACGATTAAGTTCATCAGCAGGTTTACGTAATAACATCAATCAACAGAGGGTTAAATACCAGTGAGCTTAGTACAAAACTTCATAATTGAGACGGAAAATCTTCACAAAGTTTATATTATAGCTTTGGAAAGTTTTACCGTGATGGATGTCGTTGTAAAGTAGGACTTTTACTGGGATAAAAAATTAATATTTCTCGGCAAAATGCACCTTAGGTGTCATCGGACAAAAACCGGACAAAACATAGTAATAGAGAGACAAAATTGCACTGAAGAGAGAGGTGCTGACCGAGGCAAGAACTAAAATGGTAAAGAAGTTCAAGTGTTGGGAGTGAGATAGCAGCCAGCGTTCTATCTTCTTCAGGTAAGTAGCTATGACTCCAGATTCTTCCTCGAGTGAGGAAGCATCCAATTCTTCCATGGCGTCAAATTTTCTGCCCGACTCACTGGCTGCATAAAGCAGAAGATAAACATAAGGTAGAGATATTTAAAAGTATATAACAATCTTTTAGTAGACAATTTTCATAAGGAGAACGGCCAATGCTTTGAACGTCGTACGTAAAATTAATTACCAGCCAAAGCAACATCAAAAGCAGGAAAAGGCATGTACATAGCAAACTCGAGACAGTTTGGTCAAGAAACAACAATGCAAGTACAACATTTTAAATTTGAAGTAAATTGCCAAGCCTATGAAAATCAGAGTGGGGCCTCTTCCAGAAATGCCATCACCGATATTTTGGGTAAACCTTGTTATTGTAAATAAAATATATCAAGTATAAAAGCCGGCACACTTACCAGCCCTTGAGATAAAGTAAGGAGGAAGCTCTCCTAGTGCAGTCCCAATTCCCCATAAGATAGCCTCCATCTGCACCTGCGGTAGTATGCTGCTAAGAGGAACTCTTGAACCATGGGATGTTGAAAACAAAGGAGGTCCAAACTCTTCACAGGATTTATCCAGCCATGAAGGGCCTCTCTTCAACTGTATTGTATCATACGGGGCGCTTTTCAGGTCTACTCGTCCACATTGCATTGCTTTTATGGTAAACAAGGCAATATGAGGACCCAAATAAAGGACAAAAGTATGGAGTCCTGATCCTGAAATAGGACATTTGAAGTAGATAAGTGACAAGTCAGATCAAAGCAAATTGCATTCAGTCCCACGAAAGTCTGCATAGCAGAATGTTTCAAACACAGGCAGACCATAAACAACAATATCGGGAACAACAAACATTAAAGTGCTACTACTACTTTCAGTAAAGCTATTGGACTAGATTTGATGAAACCGGATCAAGATGACCTAAGCCACTTTAGAATCTAAAATGCAGCAATAATTATACAGAAATCTATGTAAAAGCTTACACCCCTGTTTTGAGGTCGACGAAATTGCATAATTCCCTATATGGCATTGGCATGGTTAGCCAGTTTTAGCTTCTGAATCAAACACAGGTAACAGCAAAGGAAAACCGGAAACTAGCTCTAATCATGTAAGATTCGTCAAGCATACTCCTCCAGACTACCGTATAAATCAAGAATAAATTATCTTACCAAGACCAATTGAAGATGCAACACCAAGTGCTATCCACCACAGTCCAAACCGAACATACCGAGAAACTTCCTCAACATGCTGATGAAAAATGTAGTGAAGAAATCAACAGTTAATTATTGTTTCTACTGACCAGTCAAAATAAATGATAAAAAAAAAACATGAGCAATTTCAACTAAATAACGGGAACAAATTTATCACCAGCACCATAGAAAATAAAAGGTTGAAATATATGTACAGCTCATCAAGAGACAAAAAAGAACAAGCACAATAACCTCCACTCCAAATCCCCATAAAAATGAAAAAGGGAGTTGATAATGCACAATTTGCATTTTGCAATTGCATGCCTAAAAGGGGAAGATAGTATGCAACAATTACTAATTCTACAAAAGTAAGACTCTTCTGAACTACATACAAAATTACAAATATATGTTTTGCATCAACAGAAAAATATGATAAAGACAGATGAAAATTTCTAGGATTACCTAATTACCAACCTTTTCATGAGGACCCTCAATGGTTACAAGCAAAACTACAAGAACTGCTATTAGAATGCTTAAAAGCATAAGCCAACCACCCTTTGCCAAAAGATACAGTGTTGATCGCTTTAAATATTGATAGATAGCCAGAACGAAAAACCTTAATGTTTTGAATGGTTGTGTTGTCAATGTCAAATTTTCTAATTCTTGTTGACGACTCTCATGAATATCTGCAGCATTTAACAAGCCTATAAGCTATGAGTTTAAAAGAACACAATTTGAAATTTTCTCTTTACAAGGAACACAAAAATAAAGCTAATATTATTCAGCATGACTGCATAAAGGAAACGTTCATGTTCGCCTATAATTCATTAAGGGGAAAAAGGCACTATATGAAAAAAGAGAACATTTCTTGCACTAGCTACTAGGAATAGAAGTTCTTTGGCATTCTTAGAACAGAAGCTCACATAAGCAAATAAGCTGATTAAGTCACCAATACCATTCCACTTGCCAATGTTAAGATATAACGCTATAAACTCTATACAACATTGCCAACATGGGTCTGTACCAATTTCAGAAATGGTAAGCACATACTCTATATATTCAAATATATAGCCATCTCCCCTTTTTTCTCAATAAAATCCAAATATTCAACAATAATAATCAACCAATTGATCTATATATATCATGTTGACACTATGCCTGCCCAACTAAAAAAGAAGAGAGAGAATCGAGGCATGAATGCTTTCAACTATAGGGAATATGAATTTTGAACCAATCTTATAGAAGGGAGAAAGAAAATTAAAAAAAAATATCCAACACTTATAAGATAGATGATTTCTCTCAACCTCGTCTACAACACAAAAATATTGAATCCACTTGAAAAGGAAATTTATAGAATTGTTCTCCTAACTCCAAACCGATTGCAACTGTGATTAATTGGTCCCCTCCCCCAAAGGGCTTCATCAAATTAAATGTCGATGCTGCTACTACTACTGATTGGAAGAGAAGTGGGATAGGTGGTGTTTTGAGAGATGATAACGGGACAATCATAGACACTTACAAGGAATCCGCAGGACCTGGTCCTCCTACTTTGATGGAATTGAAATCTATCCTTAAGGGTTTATCTTTCTTTCACACTATACGACACAGATTCAAGGATCGGTTGATCATTGAGAGTGACTGCAGGGTGGCAGTTGACTGGGTTAGGGATTTCGTTTCATGTCCTGTTGTTTATGCTTACATTGTTAAAGATATTATTGAAAAACTTAGACTGTGTGAAGGTGTTATTAGATGGGTTAATAGGGCAGCTAATCTAGAGGCAGACGCTCTAGCTAAGGCTGGAATTGGTTGATATTTATGTTGTTTTTAAGGTTGTAACTATTTGGGTTGTCGATCTCCTTCAAGGAGTTCTAGGTTTTTGTAATCTATTGTATTAAGTTTATTATTAATAAAATCCAAGGCACTCTTTTCCTCCTTCCGCTGATTAAGGAATTTTTTCAGAGTTCCATTAATCATGAAGGGGTTTTTTAATGAGGCCTATTATTCCTATAAAAAAATAGAATTGTACACATGTTTTCATCGTGAGGGCAACGAAATGGACGACAAGTACCTAAACCACAATCTCCAAGCATTATATCATCAATCCACACTTAGTTTTCCTCTATTTTCTTTTTCCCCTACTTTTATTTTTATTTTTTTCTCCTGGAAAAATCCATGTTCATATGACAAAAAAATCCCAGAAGCACATAAATTGCACCAGAAGAAAGTTGCTGAAATAACTTATAAGATAAACCAAATCTTCCGTGCTAAACATAGTTCGAACAAAGCGTGAATCTACCTCAGATTAACACACTCTGATAACAAACCAGCTAAAACGTTCATGTCCAAAATATATATAAAAAAATCCATTTTGTACCTTCAAACCCAAAATCTAATTCTTTAGAACTTAATCTGCATCAACTATTTTGAATCCTTCTAATAGTTAAGCAACTAATGATTATTGATTTTGAAACTTAAGTCATAACTAACCCGATTGGTAAACTATAAAAATCCATAAACTAAGAGACATCGAGTAGGGGGGAAAAAGGCAACTTGATTCCAGTTCCTAAAACAAAATTTAATATGGAAAAACTGAAATGACAATAAAGGGAAATAAAGAGTAACAGAAATTATAGTAAAAACAAACTCTGACCCTCGATGGACGATGCCATTTGTCGAGAAGCAGCAGCGCTTTCGCTTGAATCCATCACCAAACTGACATACCACAATGGGTTTTTCTCCTCTCTATTTTGTTCAAATTCCTCAAATAAAAATGGAATTTTTCGTCGATATCTACCGTTTTTAAGATAAAAAGGGTGTGATTCTGGGGAAGAATCCGAGGGCTATAATCGGATTACCTGTAAAGGAATAAATCATTTATTTGTTTAAATCATAACAATAACAACGGGTTTTGGGGTTTAGAAATAAAACAGTCGTAGATCTATAGAACAAGAAGAAATCAAGAGCCGGAAAGAGTAATCTTTGCGTGAAGATCTCTTAGCTTTTGATCGTTTTCTTTCTCCGTGTCTGAAAACAAAATGAACCCAACTCAGTTTTTCTACCATTTTTATCATTATTTTTTAATTTAAGCGTGCCGTAATCAAAGTTAGAGGGGTTTTTTTTTTTCATAAGCCGAAATGTTAAAGCAAAAGTCAAATTAAAATTTAATTATTATTATTTTTTATTATTTTAATTTTGCAAGACAACAATTCTTAGATAATGTATTAGAAAAAATTAGTTTTTTTATAGTGAGAAATTATTTGCAAAATTAAAATGTTAGATATAGTGATTAGAGGAAGACTCGTGGACTATATGATGTATTTGGAAAAAACGTGTAGATCACTCAATGTTTTCTAGATTGTCATCCTATTAGATTTGATGTTTTGATTAGGGGTGTAAATGAGGTGAGTTCAGCTCGATTCGAAAACTTTGAAATGAAGCTCGACTCGAAAACTCGTGATCTTAAATTTTTCAAACTAGACTTAAACTCTAAATCCTGAACTAAAGTTCATGAGCAGCTCGAAAAAGCTCGAAATGAAAAAAAATTCTTAAACTTAACTCGATTGAAGCCTCAAACTCGAACATGAACCTAAACCTTAAATACATAAAAATCTTATTGTATTTAAAAAAATCAATACATAATTGTTAATATTATTAATAATTTATTTTTAAACAAAATAAACATTAATATATTATATTTTCGAGTTGAATATCAAGTAGTTCGTTTCAGCTCGTTAAGAACTCGAGTCGAATCTAATCGATTCGAGTATTTATCGAGCCTTGATTGAATCGATCTCGAGTAACTTGCGATCTATCTCGTCTCATTTACAACCCTAATTTCGATTGCATACAATTTAGGCATATATCGTATCTTTCCAAAAATATAAGGTAATTCGTAATCTTCTTATCAATATAGTAACAAATATTTTATTTCAACACCCTAAATGAGTAGTTTTTTTCATTATATTATCTAAGAAATTTTATAATTATAATTTATAAAAGTACAAGTATTATAAAATTTGTTTACATAAAAAATTTAAGATTTCGAAGATTTTAAAAAAATTACATTTTATATTGTATTATTTCAAAATAAGATATTTTATTTGGATAAAAAAAAGACAGGAAGAGATAATTGGCGGAATAAATGTCAACTGCGAAAGGTGATTAATATCCACATGTCCGGTCGTAATGACATGGAATTAATATTTAACAAACTATCATTAATTCTTTCATTTAAGAATTAAACCGAATTAATATTCAGTGTGCTTCATAATTATTTAGTGTAATTTTGCATTTTTTTATAATGATTAATATTTAATTTATTAGTTAATTAATTTAAATTAAATATTATAAATATTTTATGATGTGAGTTTTTTTTAATCAAACTATTTTATTTTTAACATTAATATCCAAATCTTCAATCTTACTTAAATTATACGATATCTTATTCCATAAATCATTAGTTAGTTATATATATGAATAAGGTTAAAGAACTTTAAAAAAAGAAATAATGGGTTGTGGAATACGTCACACGTGTATCACATGATCGAAAAAGGCAAATAGATATGGCATAGAGACCTTATTGCTTGCTTGGTCTTCCAATTATGTAGAAAGTGACGTTTGACGAATGAAATAATAATAAAGTATAAAAAAGGAAAAAAAAATAAACAATAAAATATATTATATTTGTTACTTTAATATGACCCATGGAATGGTGAGGTTGAGATAATAAGCTGAACAAAAGCAATTATTTTGATGATGATGATTGATGATACATGATAACAAAACATTTTTTTGTATATATTTTTCATTTTTTTATCGAGTATGTGCATGATTAAAAATAATAAGAGGAAAAGAAAAGATTCTCACGAAAAAAAAATTATATATCAATTTTACTTATTTAATAATCTTAAAAAAATACGAATCAAGTGATTTAGTAGTCAAAAGGACGGTTGTCATATTCTTAAATATTTCAAGTTAAATATGACGTTTGCATGAATGTTTAAACGTTCATTGTAAAATATTTAAAAACTTTTTAAATAAATATTATTTCGTGTAATCACTTCATACTAATAAAGAAATATTAAAAATATAAAATAAATATTTTAAAAAATCAAGTGATTTTGGTCATGAGTGGACGAAGCTTCCAAGAAGGCAGTAATTGTGGAGAATGGGGCATCCAACTTCCAAGTTTTTGTTGTATTGTATAGCGATGATGGTTGTGGGACAAAGGAAAATCCATTGCTTTCTCTTCTTGGTTTTTGTGGATTTGGTTGGTGGTGTGTACTCGTTGGGAGGTTTTCCCCCATAACTATATCGAGTTTTTTATTTAGCTCATTAGGAAATCTCGGTTTATATTTTAATATTTATAATATTTTTTTATAATGTTATTGAAATTCGTCATATCGAGAAGACGAGTTCTAATAAAAATTATTTTTTATTGAAATTCGTCATCTCAAAATGACAAATTCTAATAAAATATAATTTTTTATTAACATATATCACATCGATATAAAAAAGTATAATAAAAATATTTTTTATTAAAACTCGTCACCTCAACGTGACGAGTTTCATGTTACTGTAAAAAAATACCATAGATCTCAAAATAAATTATTACTTTCCCCTATTAGGCTAAATAAAAAACCATTGGGCCAATTTTGCCTACTCGTGGGTTCAAAATGGGTGATTTTCCCTTTGGGACATGGGCTTAGCTACAATTATTTATGTATCTATGTCAGGGTCAAAATTAGGGATAGTTTGCATCGACCTTATTTGAGATATTTACAAAAAATATCCTTTTAAGAACTGAATTGTCATTTTGAACTTTGGTTGGATCCTATATTATTATATGATCTTCATTTCAGAAATAAGAATGCAAATAAATAAAATAACTGGGTGGATGATGATTTCGATTTGTGTAAGAATCTACATCAAATGCATATGGGAGATGATTGACTTGAAAGGAGGAATTTTGAGTGCAATTAGATGGTTTGGGCCTTTAACGTCAATACAGAGCTCTTTTAGGGTACAAGGGGACTCGACCCTTGTTAAAATTTATATATTTGATATAATTTTGGTTTAATAATATTTTAATTTATGCAAAAATAAATATTTAAATTTAAAAATATTAAATATTTATTAAATATTTAATCAAGTAAGGGTCTAATTAAATAATGATAAGTATGTGTTCTTAAATTTTTGGTCTAATTACAATTTAAGTCATTGTAAGTTTAAATATTAGACGAATTAGAAGTTGTCTTTTGAGTTTTTTTTTTAATTTAGGGTGAATACAAGATAATATTTGTACAAATACTTTCAACTATTTGACAATGAACACTCATACCCCTACATATGTGCTTGAACTCGGGACCTCAAGGATAACAACAATCCCTTAATCACAAAGGTCGCTTGGTTCATGCTGAATTTCGAGTTTAAATATCTAATAAGTCTTTATATTTTTCTTAAATAGTCTACTATTTCGACCTGCCAATATTTAATTATGGCTCCGTCCCTGACGTCATGATGGTTTTTCTTATAGTGCTAGAAAAAATTATAAAATTATATCAAGTAACATTAAGTTAGGATAGGTTTATATTTAAATTTTGGGTCGATTTAAGATAGATATATACGATAATACTATTTTTCAGAATGAATCGAGATTAAATGAAATATGTAATGTTTTAGATTTGAATGGGACGACAAAAAATTTAACATGTCTCATCTTGTTGTCATCACTAGATAAAATCGACGTTTTAATTAAATTTAAAATATACTGATTATATTTTTTTTATAATTTTCAGAGTATGTTTGAAAATCACTCATTTATTAGTGGAACCACCTTAATCTTATGTATTGTTCTTTGAGTGTGATGAGATGCATTCTTACATGAAAATTCCCAACACCTTTCCACACTCTTTTACACCATCTTTGAATAAATATATATAATTTACTCCATCTTCGTTATGTTTTAGAAAATAATATAAATGAGTATAGGGAAGAAGATGTGGTAAATCTCAGGGGAGATGGAAAAGGAATGCTCCAAGAATGGGACAGAATTTATGACTGTTTCTACAATGACTTGGCAATGCCGGAAAAGGGTTCAGATCATCATCGTCCAGTTCTCGGAGGGTCGATGCATCTTCCCTATCCTAGAAGAGGAAGAACAGGTCGGAAACCACACAAACAAGGTAAGACCTATTTTTTTATGATAGCATCCATTACGTTCACAACCATAGTAAACATGACCCAACCGGAAATGCATCTTACAAATTCCAGGACAGAGAGTAGGCTGTTTCTTCTAAGCTTAAACATTTACGTTCCTCGAGATGAATGGTTTAGCTCGATGAAGTATTCGGATTTGGTTGCCTATGCTTTGAAAACTCAGTTTCAGGTATTTGTAGGAATGATAGAGATATGATTTGTTATGATTTGATATCATTCCTTTAAATAAGGGATTCTGTAAATATATTTATACAATCTCTTATTTTAAGAGATCACATCCTAAGATTAATATATTTCCTTTCTTAAGTGTTTCATACTGTAGAGAGAGAATTTGTATATAAAGATGTAATCTGTCCTATTGAAAATAATAAGAAATTACAGAGAACTACTCTGATTCTTATAGTATTAGTCCCCGAGATTGCAGCATCATGTGACAAAACCGTTAATGAGTTTGATTCCTTTCAAGATGTACTTGATCTCTATGAAGGTGGCATAAAACTGCCTAGTGATGCCACTATTAAGAAGATAAGGGATTGCCTTCCTTGGGAGATGATCAGGGAACTCGTCCGTAACGACGGCGAGAGATTGATGAAGTTCCCGATTCCTGCCGTTATCAAAGCTATGTACCAAACTTCCACCTCCCCTACATTTCTTTCTTTTGCATACGAAAAAGGCCACAGGCCGGAGATAAGAGATTACATAGGATAGGTTCGTCTTACAACTTATGTATGATGTCATGTGTGGTTACAGAGGATAGGTCTGATTGGAGGTCGGACGAAGAGTTTGCACGAGAAACTCTCG